GGGGGGGGAAGTGTCCGGACTTGGAAGGGGGTGGGGGGAAGTGTCCCCGGACTGGAAAGGGGGGGGGGGGGGGGTGGGCGAAGTGTCCGGACTGGAAGGGGGGGGGGGGGGGGGGGAAGTGTCCGGACTGGAAGGGGTTAAAGTGATTGTGATTTTTTTTTTTTAAATAAATGAAGTTCTACTTTCCCGCTCTGTGCGATGGTCTGGGATACCTGCCAGCAGCCACCCGGTTAGAAAAGAACAATGGAGAATTAAATCTGGCATTTTCCAATGGGCCCAGCTGAGCTCTTGATTGCTTCTGATCTCGGCACCCATCAGCCCCGCACCGCGTTCAACAGTCTGCAGCAACTATTTTACAAAGGATTTGGGGGGACACAATCCGTCACAATCCAGCACAGCATACCCCGCCCACCATACACAGACCGACCAATGGCAGGACCAGTATGGGGGCGGTGACAGGTGATGGAGGGGACAGGTCACCAGAATTGCCCTAGTGGGGGGTGGGGCTGATTTGGGGAGGATCTCTGCAGCATGACAGAAAATCGTTACAAAATCGACAAAACTGCCAGACGCCTTACTGTCCCGTCTCCTGGATTCCGGGGACACAATGACCCCCCCATCATACAAAGACCGCCCACAGTATACCCCCCCCCATACACAGACCTACCTCCCACAGTATACTCCTCCCCCTCAAACACAGACCTCGCCCACAGTATACACCCCCCCAAATACAGACCGCCCACAGTATACACCCCCCATACAAAGACCGCCCACAGAATACCCCCCCATACACAGACCTCCCACAGAATACCCCCCCAATACACAGACCTCCCACAGCATACCCCTCCCCCATACACAGACCTCCCACAGCATACCCCCCCAATACACAGACCGCCCACAGTATACCCCCCCCATACACAGACCGCCCACAGTATACACCCCCCCATACACAGACTGCCCACAGTATACACCCCCCCATACACAGACCGCCCACAGTATACACCCCCCATATACATTGACCATCCAAAATCTAACCCCCCCCCCCCCCCAACACTGACCATTCACAGTATAAAGCCCCCCCCATACACAGACCGCCAACAGTATACACCCCCCCCCCTTGCACAGACAGCCCGGAGTATAACCCCCCCCATACAAAGACCGCCCGCAGTATACACCCCCCCATACACAGACCTCCCACAGTATACACCCCCCCATACACAGACCGCCCACAGTATACACCCCCCATACACAGACCGCCCGCAGTATACACCCCCCCCATACACAGACCGCCCGCAGTATACACCCCCCATACACAGACTGCCCGCAGTATACACCCCCCCATACACAGACCGCCCGCAGTATACACCCCCCCCATACACAGACCGCCCGCAGTATACACCCCCCCCATACACAGACCGCCCGCAGTATACACCCCCCCAATACACAGACCGCCCGCCCGCAGTATACAACCCCCCCCAATACACAGACCGCCCGCAGTATACACCCCCCCCCCATACACAGACCGCCCGCAGTATACACCCCCCCATACACAGACCTCCCGCAGTATACACCCCCCCCATACACAGACCGCCCACAGTACACACCCCCCATATACATTGACCATTCAAAATCTAAACCCCCCCCAACACAGACCATTCACAGTATACACCCCCCAATGCACAGACCGCCCGCAGTATACACCCCCCCGTACACAGAGCGCCCGCAGTATACACCCCCCATACACAGAGCGCCCACAGTATACACCCCCCCAAACACAGTCCCCTCCCCCTTCATGTGTCTCTGCCCCCTCCCCCGACCCCTCCTCCACGTGTCTCAGTCCCCTCCCCCTTTAATGACCCCTCCCCCTCCAATGACCCCTCCTCCATGTGTTTCAGTCCCCTCCCCCTCCAATGACCCATCCTCCATGTGTCTTAGTCCCCTCCCCCTCCAATGACCCCTCCTCCATGTGTCTCAGTCTCCTCCCCCTCCAATGACCCCTCCTCCATGTGTCTTTCCCCTCCCCCTCCACAGTGACTCAGTAGGGCGGATCTCCTCTGACCTCTGTCCGCCTCCCCGGCGCGGCTCCCGGCTGGGAATAGGGAGGGCGGATGCCCGCGGGTGTCTCCTCCGGACCCGGCTCCTCTCACCCGCTCCGGCCCGCTTCACATCAACAACAAGATGGCCGCCAGCCGGGCATAAGGCGGTGCCAGCTCTCGCTGTCATGGCAACGCGCAAAGCTTTTACCAATGCGTAGCCCACCTATGAACCCGCCCCCTCTTCTATTCAACGGCTGTCCTGTCCATCACTATTCAGAACCCCGCCCCCTGCCGCTGCTGTCATTCGCTGCGACCTGCCGCTTCCCGATTGGCTGAGCTCAGAAACGAGGGACGTCTGCTGATCACCAAGACGTCAGCGCGCCGCTCAATGACTCCACCTGGCGGCTGCTGCGAGAACTGATCATTATACATTTCTATAGCTCTGACATATACCGCAGCGCTGTGCAGAGAACACTGAGCCAGTCGCATCAGTCTCTGCACCGGAGGAGCTTACACTCTAATGTCCCCTCCAACAGTCGCATCAGTCTCTACACCAGAGGAGCTTACGCTCTAATGTCCCCTCCCCCGCAGTCGCATCAGTCTCTGCACCAGAGGAGCTTACGCGCTATTGCCCCCTCCCCCGCAGTCGCATCAGTCTCTGCAACAGAGGAGCTTACGCTCTAATGTCCCCTCCCCCGCAGTCGCATCAGTCTCTGCACCAGAGGAGCTTACGCTCTAATGTCCCCTCCCCCACAGCCACAACAGTTTCTGTACCGGAGGAGCTTACACTCTAATGTCCCCTCCCCCACAGTCACATCAGTCTCTGCGCTGGAGGAGCTTACACTCTAATGTCCCCTCCCCCACAGTCACATCAGTCTCTGCACCAGAGGAGCTTACACTCTAATGTCCCCTCCCCCACAGTCACATCAGTCTCTGTACAGAGGAGCTTACACTCTAATGTCCCCTCCCCCCACAGTCACATGTCTCAGTGCCGGAGGAGCTTACACTCTAATGTCCCCACCCCCCACAGTCACATCAGTCTCTGTACAGAGGAGCTTACACTCTAATGTCCCATCCCCCCACAGTCACATGTCTCAGTGCCAGAGGAGCTTACACTCTAATGTCCCCTCCCCCCGCAGTCGCATCAGTCTCTGCACCAGAGGAGCTTACGCGCTAATGCCCCCTCCCCCGCAGTCGCATCAGTCTCTGCAACAGAGGAGCTTACGCTCTAATGCCCCCTCCCCCGCAGTCGCATCAGTCTCTGCAACAGAGGAGCTTACGCTCTAATGTCCCCTCCCCCGCAGTCGCATCAGTCTCTGCACCAGAGGAGCTTACGCTCTAATGTCCCCTCCCCCGCAGTCGCATCAGTCTCTGCACCAGAGGAGCTTGCACTCTAATGTCCCCTCCCCCACAGCCACATCAGTTTCTGTACCAGAGGAGCTTACACTCTAATGTCCCCTCCCCCACAGTCACATCAGTCTCTGCGCCAGAGGAGCTTACACTCTAATGTCCCCTCCCCCACAGTCACATCAGTCTCTGCACCAGAGGAGCTTACACTCTAATGTCCCCTCCCCCACAGTCACATCAGTCTCTGTACAGAGGAGCTTACACTCTAATGTCCCCTCCCCCCACAGTCACATGTCTCAGTGCCGGAGGAGCTTACACTCTAATGTCCCCACCCCCCACAGTCACATCAGTCTCTGCACCAGAGGAGCTTACACTCTAATGTCCCCTCCCCCACAGTCACATCAGTCTCTGTACAGAGGAGCTTACACTCTAATGTCCCCTCCCCCCACAGTCACATGTCTCAGTGCCAGAGGAGCTTACACTCTAATGTCCCCTCCCCCCACAGTCACATCAGTCTCTGCACCTGAGGAGCTTACACTCTAATGTCCCCTCCCCCATAGTCACATCAGTCTCTGTACCAGAGGAGCTTACACTCTAATGTCCCGTCCTCCACAGTCACATCCAGGGGCGGACTGACAACTCATGGGGCCCCCGGGCAATAGGGGATCATGGGGCCCCTGTGTCCTTGCCCAAACTCAAAAAAGCCTATGAAAAAGGTACCAGGGGCATATCATGGGGCCCCCTACTGAGCCCGGGCCCTCAGGCAGTGCCCGAGTTTCCAAATGGTCAGTCCACCCCTAGTCACATCAGTCTTTGTGCCAGAGGAGCTTACACTCTAATGTCCCCTCCCCCACAGCCACATCAGTTTCTGTACCAGAGGAGCTTACACTCTAATGTCCCCTCCCCCACAGTCACATCAGTCTCTGCGCCGGAGGAGCTTACACTCTAATGTCCCCTCCCCCACAGTCACATCAGTCTCTGTACCAGAGGAGCTTACACTCTAATGTCCCCTCCCCCACAGTCACATCAGTCTCTGTACAGAGGAGCTTACACTATAATGTCCCCTCCCCCACAGTCACACACTATTATTATTATACATTTATTCAGGTGACACAATACAATGCACCACATGGGGGACGTTTGTGATGAAAAATAAAGTTTGATGAGAAAGTGTAAAAAAATTAAAGTTATAACCAAGCACTTAAAATCTCGCCAAGTGCGTCCACCTTTTGCGCGCGAGCACAGGGCGGAGCTCTAAACAATTTATTTTATTTTTACACTGTCCCCACTTTTTTAATCGGTTTTATTGTAATCACGGGGAACAAACAAATCCCCTGAGACAGCAATAGGCAGTGACAGGTACTCTTTACTGAGAGATAAGGGACCTATTAGACCCCCAGATCTCTCCTCTGCCTTTCACAGAATCCGATCACACCAAGATCGGTGTGAGCAGAAGCTTTCCCAATTTAAAAATGGCACCTTTTACATCCGCTCATCTCTTCCAGGCTCTGAGACCAGAGATACGATCAGAGACATTCCGGTCTCTGATCACCTCTATGGTCAGGCGGAGGAAGCGCCCTCTGAAACGCTTGGGTCTCCCGGCGGGTTGGTAGAGACTAGGGGCTCACTGACCATTTGGAAACTCGGGCACTGCCCGAGGGCTTAAGTTCAGTAGGGGGCCCCATGAGATGCCCCTGGTACCTTTTTCATAGGCATTTTTGAGTTTGGGCAAGGACACAGGGGCCCCATGATCCCCTATTGCCCGGGGGCCCCATGAGTTGTCAGTCCGCCCATGGGAGAGACAGAGAAAGCCAATTGCTATGAAAAGCTATGATTGGTTTTACAAGAATGCCGAAAAAAACGATATCGGGATGATGCAGCTGCAGGCATCATCCTGGTATGACCACTCAAGGTCCAGGGGCGTTCCGGTACATCGCTGGTCTACAAGTGGTTAAGGCTTCACATGTTGGGTATTTACTTGATGCAACCTCATCTTCTCCATTTTACCGAAAAAAAAAAATTGGGTGATATATTGCGTTGTGTGCCCTAAAATAGCATGTAGCAGGGGCAACTTCGCAGGGCGGTGGTTGATTGTCGCGTCCTCCATGTTTTTCCAATTAACTCATTGGGTGCCAAGACTGGAAAACATGAGAAGCCTACCCCCTGTGAGGGGTTCTTCTGGGCTACGCTTGGCAACCTTGTATAGGGTCACACACATGGGGTAAACCTTCGCTTGACTGCCGTTTTCAGCAATGCCCTGGGACAAGACTAAAACTGCCATCAAGAAATATTCCACCTCAAGGCGGTCCTCTACTCTTAGAGATGAATGTACACCATGTATGCTTGCACCACAACTGTTCTCCAGTTGCTCTCGGGAACCTATGAAATTGTACATCTTTCCATTGTAGCTTGCAATCAGGCGGGCCATGCCGGACACTCACCACAGCCACCTGTCCAGAGTCCTCCTACTACCGCTCCCAGTAGCAGCATGGAACCCCGCAGTGCACATAGCGTGGGCTCCAAACGTGCTAAAAGGCCAAGTAGCAGCCATGGACCCAGCAGCAGCATAGAAGGCCTGAGTGAGTAGACCAGCACCCCCTGGTCTACAAGTGGTTAAGGCTTAACATGTTGGGTCTTTACTTGGTGCAACCTCATCTTCTACATTTTACCCCCCAAAAAATTGGGTGATATACTGCGTTGTGTGCCCTAAAATAGCATGTAGCAGGGGTGACTGCGCAGGGTGGTGGTTGATTGTCGTGTCCTCCATGTTTTCTAATTAACTTGTTGGGTGCCAAGGCTGGAAAACATGAGAAGCCTACCCCCCTGATGGGTTCTTCTGGGGGGTATAGGGTCACACACATGGGGTACCTTCACTTGTATGCCGTTTTCACCAATGCCCTGGGACAAGACTGAAACTGCCATCAAGGAATACTCCACCTTAAGGCGGGCTTCTACTCTTAGAGATGAATGTACACCATGTACACTTGCACCACAACTGTTCTTCAGTTCCTCTCGGGAACCTATGAAAATGTACATCTTCCCACTGTAGCTTGCAATCAGGCGGGCCATGCCGGACACTCACCACAGCCACCCGTTCAGCGTTCTCCTACTACCGCTCCCGGTAGCAGCGTGCTCCAAATGTGCACTTTTACTCTTGAGCTTTCGTACCTCTGTACAGGATGGGGACCTCTGCAGTGCAGTTTCCCTTCCTGTTGCTATGGGAGACGGAATGTGGGGTAGGCAGTGCCGACAGCATCTCCATTGCTGCTAGAAGCAAGATCACCTATAACAGTGTAGCACCCTCCTAGTCAGCTAGGGGGAGCTCTAGCTGTAATTGTTAGTGAGAAGAGCTGGGTAGCAGCCTAGGTGTGATAGCTAGGTGGGTCAAATTGCGGTCAGAGCTGAGAGGATCTGCAGACCAGATCTCTGGGACTTTCCCCATCTCTAGAACTTTGGGGAAAGATCTAGAAGCAGTGGGTTGAGGTGAGGAGTGGCTGGTCTGTACTCTTAGGGGATCCTGGTCAATCCCCAACAGGAGGCTTGGCAAGGGGCCAGGACATCCTTTAAGAGTAATTGAACCTGCTCAGGAGCAGGAGAGTTCGGGTGGAAATGAGGCTGGAGAGTGGGAGCCTGGGAGGGGGCCCACATGGGAGAGGTGCTCATCTAAACGCAGGAATCTTGGAAGGAGGAAAGCTCAGGACTTCACCGACCCCCAAAGAGAGGACCACCTGTGCGGCAGGGAAGGAGCGACCCAGCTAAAAGGCCTAGTAGCAACCACGGACCTAGCAGCAGCATATAAGGCCTGAGTGAGTAGACCAGCACCCCCTGGGCCAGATAGTGGAAGGAGCACTCTGGTGGGAAACCAGATTAGCCACTAACCAGGACTGTCTTCCCGTAAAGAGGCAAACACTGGATCCCCTGCTCAGGGGATCAGCTGGATTAGGAGAATCTAGGGTCTGGGGTGGTACAACTGGAGACGCTGGCTAGCTCTCCAAGAAGAGGATTTTTGCTGTAGAAACTTGTACATAGTTCCAGGAAGTTGTCCTCGGTTTCACAGTTCCATTGAGCATCCCGTACACCCCTCACCCCATCCCAGTTCAAACTCCCTAATAAAACTTCAAAACAAAGCTCAAGGACTGGTTATTGTCTCCTGGATGCACGTTAATGTGGAAATGCATCTTGCCTGACTGTGCAGGACCCAAACTTCAGGGGGTAGGGCTACAGCAGGTACACTCTTTGGACAGGCTGCTCGCTGACTGTACCTTCGTTGCTGGTGGAAACCATGTGTGTAACTTGCATTAGGGTGACTCTGTAGGATGTTGACTCCTTATACCCCATGGGCTAGTGACCCAAGCTGTAGAAGTGTAAAGTTGTACCAGTTACTTGCAATACATGCCTTTGAATCACTTCAGACCAGGCAAAAGGCAAGATTTTCACGCTCTACTGAATAGAGTGCAACAGTACAAAGTCCAACAGAACTTCAACAGAACAGTCCATTTTTCTTACATCCCCAGTCTCTAATCCTAACCAGGCTATGTGCTGTCCCGGCATACCTGCAGAGGTGGGTCCCTGTAGTTGCGACATCCAACAGAGGCAGGTTCCAGAAGTTGGTCAGTTCGTGGTGAACCCCAAGTCTTTAAGAAGTAAAGGATAGTTGCACCCAGGGACAGACTGACAACTCATGGGGCCCCCGGGCAATAGGGGATCACGGGGCCCCTGTGCCCTCGCCCACACTCAAACCATACCCAAAAAAAAGCCTTTGAAAGGTACCAGGGGCATCTCATGGGGCCCCCTACTGACCCCGGGCTCCAGGTTTCTGGAGAGACGGCCAAGGCTGGGGAAGTAAACCGGCCTTCTCACCCAGACTCTACGACCAAGGCTACAGATACAGACCACCGTCCTCCCACCGTACCAATTTATACTCACAAGTGCAGTGGGTCGGACCTAAGAATCCCGCCAAACAACCATGAGAACATTAACCCTTACCCTCCCGTCCAGGACAGCACCCACCTAGCTAATTCTAACCTGCTTGCAAGCATAGGCTAGCACCAGAACATTGGTTAGACTCTTCTACTGACCCCGGGCCCTCGGGCAGTGCCCGAATGGTCAGTCCACCCCTAGTTGCACCATTCCTACACCTTTCCCAGGTGTCGCTATCTTCAGGTTTCTGGAGAGACGGCCAAGACCGGAGAAGTAAACCGGCCTTCTCGCCCAGACTCTACGACCAAGGCTGCAGATACAGACCACCGTCCTCCCACCGTACCAATTTATACCCACAAGTACAGTGGGTCAGACCTAAGAATCCCACCAAACAACCATGAGAACATTAACGCCTAACCTCCCGTCCAGGACAGCACCCACCTAGCAAATTCTTACCTGCTTACAATAGGCAAGCGCCAGAATATTGGTTAGACTCTTCTACTGACCCCTGGGCCCTCAGGCAGTGCCCGAATGGTCAGTCCGTCCCTGGTTCTGCAATTCCTATGCCTTTCCCAGGTGTCGTTATCTTCACATTTCTGGAGAGACGGCCATGGCCAGGGAAGTAAACTGGCCTTCTCGCCCAGACTCCATGACCAAGGCTATGGATACAGACCACCGTCCTCCCACCGCCCCCCACTGTACCAATTTATACTCACAGGTGCAGTGGGTCGGACCTAAGAATCCCACCAAAGAACCATGAGAACATCAACCCCTACCCTCCCGTCCAGGACTAGCTAATTCTAACCTGCTTACAAGCATAGGCTAGCACCAGAACATTAGTTAGACTCTTCAGTCTCCAAAATGCACTGATCTGTCCACTGGTCTCGAATACGAGGGGCGTTCAAGTCAAACTAGGACTTTGAATTCTCCAGGTATATAAAGGGTTACTATCGTGGTGGTAAGTGGCCAGTGTGTCCTATTACGGATAGGCAGCACACATATTGCAGGCCAGTCCAGAGACCGTTAATCAAGATGGCAGACAACAGTGTCAGGGCGTGCATGGAATGGCGTGCGGTGGGGAAGTTTCTTGTGAACGAAGGCGTAAAACCTGCGGAGATCTACAGAAGACTTCAAGCACGGCCAAGGCCGGGGAAGTAAACCAGCCTTCTAGCCCAGACTCCACAACCATGAGACGCTCAGTCGCAGTAGGACATCTGAACGGTGTAAACGTTTCAAAGATGGCCGTACGTCTGACAGTGATGATCCCGGCCGTGGTGGTTACCAGACCACAGCAGTCATTCCTGTGAACATTCAACACGTGGAACTCCTGATCCTGGATATTCAACGTATAACCTGTCCTGAAACTGCACCAGAGACAAATCCAACTGTGCCCAGCAATGCACCCACCTGTGCCCAGCAGTGCGCCCACCTGTGCCACCCAGCAGTGTCACCACCTGTGCCCAGAAGTGCCACCTACCTGTGCCCAGTAGTGCCACCCACCTGTGCCCACCCACCTATGCCCACCAGTGCCACCCACCTGTGCCCACCAGTGACACCCACATGTGCCCACCAGTGCTGCCAGTCAGTGCCACCAGTCAGTGCCACCAGTCAGTGCCCAGCAGTGCTGCCAGTCAGTGCCCAGCAGTGATGTCAGTCAGTGACACCTATTAGTGCTGTCTATCAGTACCCATTATCAGTGTCACCTATCAGTGCCACCAATCAGTGCCGCATATCGGTGCCACCTATCCGTGACACCTCATTAGTGCTGCCTATCAGTGCCGCCTATCCGTGCCACCTCATTAGTGCCGCCTATCAGTGCCGCCTATCAGTGCCCATCAGTCCTGCCTATCAGTGC